GATTGTAGAAGGGCCAGTGATGAAAATTTTGAGCCTAAATGAATGACCCATTTGAAATCCGATCGATAGAAGCTTAGGTGACATCAGTGGTGAATCCATAATGATTTTAAACGTGGACTAAAACTAAATGGTCTTAAATTTTTAAATTAAAAAAGATGTAAAATATGGTGTCAGATATTTGTTGAACTAAATTAGAAAGAGGAACGTTGGGAGGTGAAACGAAATCATCAAAAAGGATTTAAGAACCGAAGTAAGATTGAGAATGAGTCATGATTATTTCAAAGAAGAAAAAGTGATTTGCTAAGAGTGGAAGTGCCGAAGTTGATCATCACCATCGTTAATGTCAAAGAAGGCAGAGTTGACAATGTGGATTTTAGATGGGCCAGTGATGAAAATAATGAGCCCAAAAGAATGACCCATTTAAGATCCGATCGATAGAAGCTTAGGTGACATCAGTGGTGAAGCCAAAATGATTTTAAACATGGGTTAAAACTAAATGGGCCTTAAATTTTTAAATAAAAAAGATGTAAAATAGGGTGTCAGATATTTGTTGAACTGAATTAGGAAGAGGAACAGTGGGAGGTGAAATGAAATCATCAAAAAGGATTTAAGAACATGAGTAAAATTGAGATTGGGTCATGATTATTTCAGAAAAGAAAGAGTGATTTGCAGGGAGTGGAAGTGCCGGAGTCGATCATCACCATCGTTAACGTCAAAGAAGGCAGAGTTGACAATGCGGATTTTAGAAGGGCCAGTGATGAAAATAATGAGCCCAAAGGAATGACACTTTTAAAATCTGGTCGATAGAAGTTTAGGTGACATCAGTGGTCAATCCATAATTATTTTAAACGTGGACTGAAACTAAATGGGCCTTAAATGTTTTATAAAAAAAGATGTAAAATAGGGTGTCAGATATTTGTTGAACTGAATTAAGAAGAGGAACGATGGGAGGTGAAACGAAATCATCAAAAGGGATTTAAGAACATAATTAAGATTGAGAATGAGTCATGATTGTTTTAGAGAAGAAAGAGTGATTTTCAAGGAGTGAAAGTGCCGAAATCGATCATCACCATCGTTAACGTCAAAGAAGGCCAGAGTTGTCGATGTGGATTTTAGATAGGCCAGTGATGAAAATAATGAGCTCAAAGGAATGATCCGTTTAAGATCCGGTCGATAGAAGCTTTGGTGACATCAGTGGTGAACCAAGAATGATGTTAAACATGGGCTAAAACTAAATGGACCTTAAATTATTAAATAAAAAAGATGTAGAATAGGGTGAGATATTTGTTGAACTGAATTTAGGAAGAGGAACGTTGAGAGGTGAAACGAAATCATCAAAAGTGATTTAAGAACCGAAGTAAGATTGAGATTGAGTCATGTTTATTTCAGAGAAAAAGAGTTATTTGCAGGGAGTGGAAGTGCCAAAGTCGATCATTACCATCGTTATCGTCAAAGAAGGCAGAGTTGACAATGTGGACTTTAGATGGGCCAGTGATGAAAATAATGAGCCCAAAGGAATGACCCGTTTAAGATTCGATCGATAGAAGCTTAGGTGACATCAGTGGTGAATCTAAAATGATTTTAAACATGGGTTAAAACTAAATGGACCTTAAATTTTTAAATAAAAAGATGTAAAATAGGGTGTCAGATATTTGTTGAACTGAATTAGGAGGAGGAAAGGTAGGAGGTGAAATGAAATCATCAAAAAGGATTTAAGAACAGAAGTAAGATTGAGATTGAGTCATGATTATTTCAAAGAAAAAAGAGTGATTCGCAGGGAGTGGAAATGCCGAAGTCGATCATCACCATCGTTAACGTCAAAGAAGGCAGAGTTGACAATGTGGATTTTAGATGGGCCAGTGATGAAAATAATGAGCCCAAAGGAATGACCCGTTTAAGATCCGATCGATAGAAGCTTAGGTGACATCAGGGGTGAAGCCAAAATGATTTTAAACATGGGTTAAAACTAAATGAGCCTTAAGTTTTTAAATAAAAAAGATGTAAAATAAGGTGTCAGATATTTGTTGAACTGAATAAAAGGAACGGTGGGAGGTGAAACGAAATCATCAAAAAGGATTTAAGAACAGAAGTAAGATTGAGATTGAGTCACTATTATTTTAGAGAAAATGATTTGCAGAGAGTGGAAGTGCCGAAGTCGATCATCACCATCGTTAACGTCAAAGAAGGCCAGAGTTGACGATGTGGATTTTAGATGGATCAGTGATGAAAATAATAAGCCCAAAGGAATGACCCGTTTAAGATCCAGTCAATAGAAACTTAGGTGATATTAGTGGTGAAACCATCTATACTATTAAAAGAGAAGGAGTCTAAATAAATCTACTTAAAAAAGTTGTTTGGACCCTTTCATTATACTAACATTTTTTTTATTTTTCCTTATATTTCTCTAACAATATTGTACAATAACATTATATCATATAACTTACCTTATATTTCTCTAACAATAAATTAGTCAATATTCTTATTTATTATACATTACTCTTATCGGTCAATATTTTTATTTCTCCACAAAACATTATTATAACCTTATACCATATAATTTCATAATATGTGACTGATTTCACACATTA